AATACCGCAGAGCAAAAATCGGGCAGCGTGTGATGGTTTCATTGGCCGTGAAGGCCATAATCTAAACTTATTCTAAAATTTGAGGCTATTTCCGACATTTTTGCTTTCATTCAATAAAATTTAAAAAAAATGTGAAAAAATTATTGCGCTTGACTTTGTTACAGTTTTTTCATCTCACCCTGTACATTTACAGTATCTTCATCATAAAAAGAACAAATAGTTCTTCGAGTGTTAAAAAGTCTTAATAATTTAGAAATAACTTGCAAATACTAATATATACAGTTCCACAATTACCCTTCTCTTTTGTCCAGTGAATGACGTTAATATTTAGTAATATTTTTAGAAATTAAAAAAATAATTTTTAATTGTATTTGCTTTCAATGGAGTTAGTAACATGTCGTTCTCATTAATAACCTGTTATTTTACACTACAAGCTTCACACTTTTAAATTAGAGTTGTATTTAAAACAGATGGTTTACAAGACGGCCGTGTTTACACAAATAACTTTTTAATAGTGTGCGTTATTTACAAATAGATCGTAAAGACCATACAAATTATTTCGTTGAAAGAAGAAAAATTTTATTAAAACAACATTTTCAAGACATATTAGATTTGAGTTAATACTTTGCCCACACTGAAATCGAATATAAATATTTATTGCTTTGTAAATAAAGTTGTGGTTTTCCAATAACAAGTTTTACCTTCCAATAAAAATGCATTATGGCATTTTAATGCAAATAAAAATTATGTAAATTTCTAGACGCAGAAATAAATAACTGTATACGACTGTGTGGTTTCAAGTCTACTTTATTTCCATAAATGGTAATTAGTTAATTAATTAATTTAAGGCTGGATCTTTATACCACGCTAATGTTTTAGTCTACATTAGGTTACATTTGCATACATTTGCAAGTTGGCAAAAATGTGTATAAAATCAGGGTTTATTTTCTTAATCAGGCTAAATTTACCATGATTTACCATACAAAATTAAATCATCGTGCGGCATGGTTTATTTTAAATCATGATCGGAATCATGATACTACTGAGATGCAACGCGGTTTTTGTGCTAAAAAATACAACTCTCTCACAATGTAACAAAATTTGCAACTGTTTTCACATGTTGTTTGTTTTTAAATTTAACGGTTACCAAATACAAAATTAAATAACAATTATTTATAGAATTTTTGTGTTTTTCGTTGTTTTTTATAATTTCCAAACGATTACAGCATTGCAAAAACATTTCCATTGTTGTAATTCTTTGTTTCATGTTGAAATTGCAAAAAAAATTTTTGCAGCAAAATTTATAATTTTGTATGTATACTAACAAACATCAGCTGATCCGTATTTAGATCATGATTAAAGGTATGTGTAAACAATTAGGGTGTATTTCTGGATTTCGTTAATCGAGTCGATTTAAAATCGTATATGTAAATGTACTTTCAATTTCTCGATTTTCTCGAAATCAGATCATTTCAAATACAACTCTGCTTGTGTACCAAAAAATGCATCACTTCTCCTTAAAGTGGCAACGCTGTACGCCTCAAAATTCAAACTACAAGAAAATTGTAACCGCCGATAATTATTAAATTGGTATAGTAAAATTTATAAAATAACAAATATTACTATAATTTTTGATATAATGTAGAGCAATTCCTATTAAATGTATGAAAATATTAATTGAAAAATTGCCACAAAAAAATAAAAAACCAGAGAAATGTGTAGGTATATATAAACAATAGCAGACAAATAAACTTCATATCATTTTAATTCTAGTCCAAAGATGTAGGATTTTGTATTTAGAAATAGAGTCGATACAGAAGCCATGGTCTATATAGATTTATAGATTTGATGTATGTCGTATGTATAACGGAGTAGTTTAAATTCCTCTTCTGATCCTTAAAGTGCGTTTAGATTTACGAAATCTACTCGATCTCAAATGTCAATTCCATAGCGTATATGTCAAATATAATCCACTGGATGTGTGAACAGGAGAAGAGTATATATATGTCACTAAGTCCAGTCCATGATGTATCTTGTTCTTCTTCCTTCGTGGCCTTCTCCTTATCTCGCTTTTTTATGTCTTTTGAGTGCCGGAATTCTCATAAATTCTCACAACATGACCTAGCTAATGTGACACTTGTTTTAAGCGGATTTGGTATGCAGGTCTTAGGCTGCGGCTTAGCTCGCCGGAAATGGGTGGATTCTTTCCGCTTTAAATGTCAATATAAAATTTTATACCTGTTTTTGAATTCAAACGAAGTTAAATAAATGATAAGTTAAATTGAATTCTATTAATCGGATGTATTCCAAAATATTATACCATTAAGCCATAGTTTAAATTGAACACCATATAGATTTCCACTTTAACGAGGTTTAGATGTTACACCTCTATGGCTTTTCCCTCCCCTTATGACATTTTTCAGTCAGCCATGGTATTTTCATGCCATTAATTTTTGAAAATACCCCAAACACAATCAAATCAGCCGCTATCTAATTAATTTTCAACCCATTTTTAATTTAGAAATCAACACATTTTGCTAAATATTAACAAGTTTCAAAAATGCATCATATAAATAATATTCATTTTTAATTTCGTTTTTTTATTAATTCAATTTAAATTTAGTTATTTTTCTTTTAAACAATTTATTTAAATTTATAGAATTTTTAAATATTTTACACAATATTTTAATAGTATTTTTTTTTATTGTTTGTGATTAGAGTATAATTTTTATAATATATAATATGTCTTTTTTAACTTTTTATAGCATGCACTTATTTTTATGTTTTCTTACATTATTTTATTTATTATATATTATATATACAATTTCTTTTATTTATCTGTTTTTATATTTATATGTATTTTTAAATTAGCATTATTGATTAATATTTACTTTAGGTATCTTATTTTAATTTTTCATATTTTTTTCTTTAAAAATTAATTTTAGATTATATTAACGTATATCATTGAATTTTTATATGCAAATTATATATTTTTATTTTTTAATTATTTTAAATCATATTTAATTATTGTAGGATATTTTCGTGAATACCCCTAATACGATATAATTGTAATGCAATTACCAACGCCTTAAAATATTCTTTACAAAAATCAAAATGGTTATGTAATTATTGTGAATGATGTAACCAATTTAATCACGTGGATCAATAGATTATGGCTCTTTATGGCAACTTTTGGGTTTGAGGTTATAGCAAGTTTTTTTGGGTTTTGGTACTCACTCAAATTTTGCTTCTATTTTCCAAACCTGAGGATTTTAATGTTTTGTGGGGTTTCTTTTAGGCTCATTTTGTTATTATATTTCACCATAGAAATATGTTCGTGCTATGTGGTGTATCCGCCTTTATTTCACAGCTTGTATTTGCTGATTGCCGCGGTTAAAAAAATCAGCAAATAGTTTAGCTGTGGTATTTTTTTGTTTACCACTATATTCTATGGAATATAATAAATATTTTTCATATTTAAAGAAAATGGATTTTTTTAAAAAAAAAATATGTTTCAATAAAAGATTCTCACCTGAATATCTTGTTCAGTTGATTTTTTTTTATCTTAAAATTTTGTTAACCAACAAAATTATCCGGAAATTATTAACTATTGATTTTAAAAAATATATAACTGTATATTTTTTTTTGCAATTTTATCGTTATTTTCTATTTTTTTAATGATAAAATTTCACCACTTGAAGTAATATAATTGCTTGACTTTTGGTGACCTCTTTTAATCAATGTGGCAAACTGATTGTTCACTGTGATTCTTTTTAAGGTTAACCTCACACGTTGGAGTTTCATACCAGTGATGAAAAATCGGATTTTTCCAACTATGGTGGATCCTACATTTTTTTTAATGTTTGGCGATCTATATAGAGGGATCTTACACATTTTTAATGTTCGGCGGCAATTGTAGGGGGCGGTGATGTCATTAATTATTTAATAATTTATTTATGTTTTTTTGGTTAATATTATTAATCAATACTACTATAATTGTTATTATTATTTTATAATCATAAAAATTATAAAAATTATTCTATGTATGTTCAAATTGTTCTATTATTATGTATTTGTTTGGATATGATGCGATTTGTTGTTCAACATTGAATATCAAACAATTTGTACTGCCGATCGTACAACATTTCACCTGAGAACAGTTTGGTGTAGTAACGCCACCAAAAGTAAGAAGGTCAATTTTCGATCTAAGAATCCCTATAGATCTTTTGTTTACATTTTTTTATTGGATTGGTGAGTCGTGAATAATATTATTGTAAAAATAATAATTTTATTCTAAAAAAAAAATTACAAAACGAGAGATGGGGTACTACAAATGTTTCTCATAAAGGTAAAGTCAGAGACCCCACAGAATACTTTGGAGGTGATTGATATGTTTGGTGTTTTTAGTTGGTTGCTGCTGGTGGTATATGTTCATTCACAATGAATGATGGAAAAAGGGTAAGTGTTTATCAAAATAATTAATACCAACTTGGATAAATGTTTTCTTTTTTCTTTCAGGATTAAAAGACATGACGAGGAAAATATGAGGCAGTCAAATGACTGAAACAATAACAAAAAATATCCTCTTCTTCGGGATGCGATGTTGGTGTTGGCGGTATCCATGTGTGGTTACACATGGATGTAGTGATGGGTGAAATATGAATATGAAAAACTATTCATATATAATAAATAACATATTTTGTGTGATGTCCCACAAAATACCTTTGCTTGGATTTATGAGACAAAGTATGAAGTATGGCCTAAGGTATTCATACACAACCATAAGGTGGTTGTCACATCTGGGAAAACAGTAGGTATTCGATCATGTTTTGTAAAAAGCGTTTTCGATATTCTGCAGAAGGTTCTTACATTTCACATTTGTGCTGGTCATATGGATGTGAATAAACCAACGAATTGAAATCAATAAATTACCATATAAATAAATAATTTATTTTAAATGCAATAATATTACTTTTCATAAATATTTTATTCTTATAGACTTCATACAGCCTATCTTATTTCGTGCCCAGTATTTCCGAATTTTCAATAATCATATCACCAATAATCTCTCCCATTTGTTTCGAATGACGCAACACAAATGAATGATCAATTTTCTTGGTATCCAATTGAGCATCAATGTCGGGAAATTGTTCTTTCAATTGATTATAGTATTTTACCGGAACCCAGCCATCAGTTGTGCCATAGTAAAGCTTCAGCAACGGCATATTATCGCGGATTATATCCTTTTGTAAGCCACAGACACGAGCCATTTCATCTTCAGCTAAAAATACTACTTTTTCGGTAACAGTAGCCTTTATGTAACCCAATACGGTGTTTAAATGATTACTGGGTATGGATGAAAACCAAAAATAGATTTGTACTAGCAGAACTAGTAAAAGTTTAGGCAAGCGATTTAGCAAGGCAATAAGGAAACCAAAAACCGAATATAATGGCAAACCAATTTTTGTGAAGGTCCAGCCATTTGGTGATTCAATCATTCGTTCGATGGTGGGAAAGAGCAGATAACATTTTTTGATACGTTTGCGTATGGATTCATTTCGTAGAAGTTGTAGAACCATCCATGCTCCTATTGAATGGCCCATTAAATGGATTTTTACATTTTCGGGGACATATTTTTCAATGAATTCGATTTTGTGACGAATTTGCCCATCCAAATCGAAAAGTTCTTCATTGCCTTTAAGTTGAGGTACTTCACGAAGGCTATTTTCGGGAGGATCATCATGGCCAGCATGTCCTATAGGATAAAAAGTGTGATATTATAATTTATGAAATACTAGACAGTAAAGATAATAAACTGGAAAATGATTCCAACTAATAGCTAAAATAGTATTTTACTAAAATTGGAAGTAATAATAATTACATCGAAATAAAAATAAATAAAAAGTATATTCAAAAAATAATATAATATATATATATATATATATTCAAATAATATATAATAATAAAAAATATTTCGAAGAAGATAAACTTTAAAACACCATATTATGAAAGGATTTTATATCATTTCGTTTGGAACTCATAAAAATAATGGACATATAAATATCGGAGTAAAATTCTAAGACGTATTTTCCGAAAAAAAATTGAGAAAGAGTGCTGAAATTGGTTGTAATTTGATAGTATCAGTTTTTGTTGGCAAAATCTATGAACATTGCCTCACTTTTCGGGGTAGACCACATATATTTTCAATTCAATTTTGTTCAACTTGGAATTCAAAGCCTTCAGGTCCATTAAAGATAAATTACAAAATGCATATGAAACGCTTAACCTAATAAAGGTTACGTTTTCTTTCGTCGAAATCGGGATCTGGTCTAGTTCGAAGAATTGTGACTATAGTATTGCGTGTAATGATATTTTTGAAAATCATTCTAAAATTCTACTGTACAGATTCAAATAATATACAAAAATCTAAATCCTCAATAAATTATCGATTCATTTTTGAATTTTAAACGTTCTTAGTTGAGATTATTTGTTACAAAAATTGAATATATTCCAGAGGGAAAAAACACTTCTTCAAAATACCTCATAGAAATTAAGATTTGAATGCAACATCGTCAGCGACATGAGTCAGCTTTCACTTTCTTAGCTTTTGTTTTGAGAGACGACACTTACCAATTACCCAAACGGGCATTTTCTTTTCGAGACGTTCATGCAAAGTTTCACAGAATTCGCCATAGAAGCCAGGTAGACCGGGATTTCCAGTTATACATATGGCTACTTCTCGAACATCGTCCACAGATTCTTCCACCCAGCCACCATAGGTGATGATACGAGTTGGTACATTACAAATATTAACAAACGCCTCCTTCATCATTTTATATTAAATGTAACCTTTCAACTCTGTTTGATAATGATTTCCCAGTAATCTTTCAGTTAATAACAGGTAAAGCCCTATAATCGGCCGGCTTTTGAACAGTGACTGGCGAGCAAATCTTTATATTTTGTTGTTGTTATGTCCAACTTTCGTTTTAACAGCTGTTGGAGAACAGGGATACATAAGTCGATTTGATACAAACCGATAAATCGATATTTGATAAGAAAAATTGCTGTTGATGTCATGTTCTGACGGCTATTTGAACGATTTTGAAACGTACTTTACTGACCTCTACATTTCAAAGTATTTCAGAATCGTTATTTCGTGAACAAAAATCTTTTTGAATAGAAATATATACCTTACAATTATGAACCTTTTCCGAACTGTAAGATTCTACAATTTTTTACAACGACAACAATTTTTTATTATATCGGGAACAAATAGTAAATTCTTGCAGTGCGGTAACATTATCAAATCCTATATAGAAATTAAATATCTGCGGCGATTTCTGAACCACCGTGCATAAATAAAACAAGTAAAAACCAGTAAGGAAAATAGTAAAGTCATGCGGGCCGACTATATGATACCCTTCACCACTATGGGTATATTAAACAGATACATCCTAACTGACGTCGCATTTTCCTTCCTTGAAAGACCATTAACATGAAATTGAATGAACTATGAAATGTGATCTTTATCTAAATGCGAACCAACTTAGATCAATCCATAAGCATGCCATTAGTTAGTTATAATGGTACAAAATCATGTAAACCAATTTAAACAAATATCAATCGGACAGACGTTCATTATTTGGAGTCCAATTAACAAGAAGTCGGTCGGAAATCTATATGGGCTATGTCTGTACGTTGTGCAAAATTTCGTGTCATTCTGACAAACATGAGGAGTTTGGTGCACCATTTACATAAAATCGGACGAAAATATACATGGACGCTATATCCATATCTGAAACGATTTAAACGAAGCTTGCTACAGGTTTGGTTATACAAACTTCTGTATGTTTTGTTCATATAGTCCATATTTGGGTCCTTGGTGAATCATTTACTTAAAATCAGACGAAAATATATATGAGATATGTTGCATGTGACTTTATTATTTTTTTTTTATTTTGTTATCGGCAGCTATTTTGTTATCGATGTGTTTCGTGGCTGCCGGTCTAGAAGAAATAAGCCGGATGCGGTAGGCTATGAAGTTGGCTGCATATAAACAGTGTTGCAAAGATGGAAAAATGAAATGAATCATGAATTGTAGTTAGTGGATGCGGTCACGTAACGTGCATGAAATGCAACACTGCGTGAGCGTAATAGGTTTGGATGTAGCATAAAACAGACATAAATAAATGTCGGAAAATTGTGCGAAAAATGAAAAGGAGGGAAAATCATGCTTGGGTTTCGGCCATATAAAAGGAGCGAATGAGAGAAAAATCGCCATAGTTATTTGTGTCAATTAAAAATCCAATTGGATTTTTTGCCCAAAATAAAAAAATCAAAATCAACAAAAAAAAACCTAATTGGAAATAAACAAAATTTATATATTTTTTCTTCAAAGTTTATTGTGGTGTTGTTGGTGCATGTTGTGCGTATACCAAAATGTAAGCATGTTGCTTAATGTGTTTGTTTTTTGTCGCTTCAATATCTTGTACTTTTTTGTTTTATTAAAGTTGAACGCCTATAAAAAACTGCACACCGCCGAAGAAACTGACCCCTCCCAAATATCTGCGAGGAGGAGGTCAGATAAAATTTTGAAGAATATTCGGAAGAAATTTTGAAGAAGATATTTGAAGAAAAACGTTGGGAAAACAGCCTTGAAAAGTTGCCAAAATCCTGCCAATAATCCCCTTTAAATCCGTATGGAGAGGGAACAAAAAATCCTGGTAATCCGTGATGATTTGCTCTGTCGCTGGTAATGAACCCCTACAATAAAGAAACCAGAAAATATATATATTAAATCGTTGGAAACCAGGTAAAAGAATATTAATATAATACTTACCAATTCGAGCCAATGCTGGAATAATGGAATTGTCAGTTTCCCTATGCAAATCAAAAAAACCTGAAATGAGATAAAAGAAAGAAAACGTTAAATTCAATTTTTACGAAAAAGACACAAAACTATAAAGAAGACAAAAAAATATAAGTAAAACAATCATCTATGTTAGTAATAAGTTGTGAATGTTAGTAGTTAGTTTAGTATTAAGGAATTTTTAATGAGTATATATTGTGAGGATTTTTAACTTCTTTTATTAACTGGTGAGCTAGATTACCACATAGCTACGTGGAGCAAGTATTTGAATAATTTTTCGGATGAAATTTAACCGCCTACGTCACCACTAACAGAGCTCTCTTAGGTAGGTGTAGTTGTCTAAGGTAGCCTAAATTTGGCAGTGTAACATGCCCAACGCTAAGTGTTGGTAATCTACGATATTGATTCACACTGAGAGAAAAGGAGTTAGGAGTTCATGAATTGACATAATTTTTCATGTTTTGTGTTAGATTAAGGTCCAAAAAAAATGTCAATAAATGATTTTTATGTTTGATTTTATGTTATTAGAAATTATGTTGTGTTAAGTTTTCTTTGTGAGAGAGGGAATTAGGTGTAAGTTTTCGTGAGGTAAGTGTGTGTGGAATTTGGGGCCCTTTTAAATATAAAACTTTATTAATTGGACTAAAGGGTCAAGGATGGGCGGGCATAGTGGAGGAGCACTAAACCAAGCTCCTTCGTCATAGGTGTATGTTGTGTTTGTTTATGTTTTTGTGTTTTGTATGATCCAAAAATTTCTAGTTGTTCGTTCCCTAGGGTTGATGGTGGCAAGGGTTGAGAACTCCCCTGATCGAAAAGTGTTCCCAACTGAGCTAGTGCGAACCCCGCCATAACGCCGCATTAGGTCTAGAACGTAACAATATGGCGCCCAATATAATTCAAAAAAATCAGCATCCGAAGCACCGTACATCAATATGGCGCCTAGGATGACACCAAAAATATGTGCAATAAAACTTAAGCACTGTGCAATAGCCTATAGGGGGCAATAGATTAAAATGAAAGATCGCATTTTTAATTAGCTAACGGATATTGCATCCACTTTTTAGATTTAGAATAAACTGTGATAAATGTGCAATATTTAGTTTAGAGAATTAAAAATTAGGATATTTCATTCCATCATTAGGGTCAAGTGCAATAGCTTTTTGTTCGTTTAGTGTAACAAAGATTGTATTGTCTTATGACCTGTGTTTTATGTGTTTCTGTTTGTTTTTAAAGTAGCAGCAATAGGATTTAGGTTAGCAGTGGACGAAATTGCAATATCTGCTATGACTATGAGAGCCATAGACTGTATTGACGATCTAGTCCGTAAATGAGATCTCTTTTCTTCGATGTGTTAGAAAACTGCCATACTGCTACCCAAAACGGAAATTATGTCCATTTAAATGTATGTAAATGTCCAATATATTTAATCAATACATCATGACGACCTAATAAGGCCACTTTATTATGAAAATGTTTTTTGTTTACAAATAAACAATACCCCACACACAATCTCACGTTAGCCGAAAATACTCCTAAGACCTCTCGTTTTTGTTTAAAAATATTTGTTTATCTCTTTTGTGTTGTCTAATTGTTTTTACCTTTATATTTTTTTTATTTTTTGTGTAACTTATATATTTTAATTTTTGTTTAACCTATATATTTTTAATTTAATTATTCTTTAACGATTACGTAGATTAGGTGTTTATCTCTTTATGTTTTTTTGTCTTTACTATCAAAAAATATATATAAAAATATAATAAATTTTAATATATTGCTATCTAATGAGCACAAGTAACGCCGGTAAAAGTCGAAGAAAGAGAAATAGATCGCTTGCGTTCGATCTTAGTAGAACGTCTATTTCTTCTCCAAAGCCCAAAACTAAGAAAAAAGAAAAAGCTACAAAAATGCCTAATGTTAACAATAACGCCGACCCAGCAATAAGGGATTTATCGGGTTCTATTAACAACCCCAAACCTAGCACTAGCGCTGACTCTGGAGTTTTGCATCCAAATATCCCAAATCCTAATATTCCACAATCTAATATACAACATCATAATCCACAACCTACTCATCCAATCGAAGTTGACCAACTGGTAAGGAGTTTGGTCCAGGATAGTTTAAACCACGCACAGGCGAACCTACAATCTATGGTTCAGCAAAGTGTGACCAAAGAAATGGAAAAGGTCTACACTGTCCTTGATAAGTTGAACGATACTGTGGCCAGATTGTCACTAAATACACACCATGAATCGCAACCTCCAACAACACAGCCTACCCAAAATCCATTGCGTCCATCTCCAACTCCAAGTAGGGAAAATGAACCGAGGTTAGGTAGAAGCCACACCATTACGCCATCTTTCGTGAGCACCCATAGTTGCCAAGGTATAAAAATAGAAAGGTTTGGCCTAAACTTCTCTGGTAGACCCAATACATTGTCTGTAGAAGATTTTATATATAGACTAGAGCATTTTCAAAAACTCTATAATTTGGATTGGAAAGATATCCTTAATGAATTCCACATGATAGTTTCAGGGCCAGCAAACGAATGGTTTTGGTTAGAACAGATGAACCACAATATATCCAGTTGGGAATCGCTGAAACACGCCTTATGCGAACGTTTCAAAGTAAAAAGAACATGCTTTGAGGAAATGCGCGATTTACTAGAACGCAAACAAATGCCCGGAGAATCAATTGACTCATTTTTTCACGACTTAAATTCGATGAGGTCGAAATTGGAAAGACCAGTATCCGAATACGAGATGATTTCCCTCGCAAAAAAGAATTTGAGAAAAAATTTAGCAGGAATAGTTTATTCAATGCAAGTATCTTCTCTTGAGCAGTTGAGGATACAATGTTTAGAAGTAGAAAAGACGTTTTTCCGACGCGAATTCACTCCTACACCTACTCCTTTAAATAATAGACCAGTACGCGTTAATGCTATGCAAGAAATAAGCGATGTAGAA